AACACCCCAGAACCTCCCCCTATGAGGCCCCTCCCCCAGCAGCAGGACTGTATGAGGGTGGGATGGCACAACCCCCCCAGGATGGGGCTTACCCCCCCACTCCCAGCCTCCCTTTCCCTAGGGTCCCCCTTTCCAGGCCTCCCCTAGACTGCCTTACCTCCATGGGTGGGCCCCAATGGTGGACTTTCCCATGCCGAACTGGTTGCCCACCAATCAGTAGCTATCTGGGATGGCAAGCTTCCAGACAGTGATTGCAACCCGCTTCTCCAAGGGGATGGCGGGCCACACGGGGATGGCAAGCCACAGGTGGGTGTTGTGTCTTCGGAGGGCAGTAGCAAGCCCAGCACACAGCTCCAAAAAGGTTGCCTTCTGCATGCAGAAGTCTTGGAGCCACTGCTGCTCGTCCCACCGCTCCACGATCAGGCACTCACCAGTTGGAAGTGGTGTCCAGCCTCCAAAGTATCTCTCCACTGTGGGGTCCGGTTGCAAGGGTCTTGCTCCCACACACAGGAAGAGGGTCTCAGGAATGAGCTCAGGTGTTGAGGTTGTGGAAAGCCATGAAGGCAGCCTGCAGAAACTGCAGCATGGCCATGTGGGACAGCTCCATGGCAAAAAAAAAAAAAAATGCTGTGGCATCCAAAAGCTAGGCAACCAGAGCACGCACTCACTAAAGCTTTGCTGTCCCTCGGAGAGGTAGGCAAGCAAGCGGCAGAAGCAGAGAAACAGCTGTCCGGGGTGTCCCTTTAAGCATGTCTCTCAGCTAAGCTTAGGCAACAGCACTTGGAAGCAACTGGTGACCTAATGCTCTGCCTGAACGGGTTCTGGGTGGCCTTATGCGAGATAGCATCTACACTGATTTTTCTATGTGCTTTTGCTGTGTAGACACTCTCTCTCTCAAAAGAAGCGTGCAGTCTAGATGTAGCCAGAAACATGTAGCAGATGTTGTGAATGCATCCATAGGTCTTTTGAAAGTATGCAAAAAACAGTATATTTTTAAGACTTCTTTCCTGCTCTGACTGGGGAGTAACAAATAGAACTCCTTTTATATCGGAAAGAAATCACTCTTTATATGCAGAGTTTTAT